TTTGATTATTTTAAATAATTGTAAATATATGAAAATCCCATATGTGAACTGCGGTTGAAGAAAAGAATATGGAAGCGATGCTCGCAGTTATCAACACTACTTAGTTAGTGGTGAAAGAAAAGCCTGAAAAAAATTCAGAACCGTACGGGATTTGAACCCTTGACTTCTGCTATACCGGTGCAGTTCTCTACCAAATGAACTGACAAGCCAACTAGGAGCTTGAAAATTTTTGGCAGAAACTTCCTAGACATTCAAGCCATGTCGTCCCAACAGTCATTCACAACTATACGTGGTTTAACTTTCAGATAAATACTTCGTGACGGTTACTGAAAAAGATTGTCTTCCAGTCCATGAAAATGTTGTAACTAAGACGGCCGGTGTCATGCATACCAGGTTGGTTTATGCGGTTTTTTTATCCTCAGAGTTGGAGAGAGGTGAAGATTTTGTATGTCATTTAAGCCGATAAACTGGCGACTTCCTTCCGTCAAGTAATGTGCTGCTTCCTCTTCTGGATTATAATGCATTGCATGGTTACCCCACAAACTTTCTTCAGGCTTCTCTGACAGTTCGCCGTTACTCATTTATATTTTCCGGTGAAGAGAGGTAGTGTGGAAAAAAGAATTGTCTTGCCCGAGCACATAGCAGGAGGCGCAGTAACCCAGTTCTCTTCTCTACAGGTTCTTTAACCCTTTATCTCTTAACTCCCATGAGTGATCAAGACTGAATTTCTCCTTACAATATCAATAGAATATCAAGCAGACAAGTGATGAGAATACCAAACTTATATCACAAGAACTGTATTTCGGACAGTAAGGAGAATTCCTAATAAGATATTGGGGGTTAAAGGATTAAAACAATTGTTATTTTTTCCTTCTCTTTTAGCTTTTTTGATCTTGAACTTGGGGTGGACCCTGAGCGGTTTGTTCCTCCAAGGGAGTGCGAATAGCCGTGGACGACTTAAGGAGCATGCGCAGCTTTTCATTGCTAATGGATTTGCTGAGAAGTGATTAGCTTCAGATCAGAGGCTTTTTTATTTCTTTCACTGGTCAAAAAACACCAGGAAAGAAAACTCAGAAAGGAGCTTGATTTGTAGTCAATAGTGAATCGTTTAATAAACATCGTCTGCAAAAAAAGGTATCTGTGTATGTGTCTGTCTTAAGCGATTAGAAGTCTGACCTAGACATTCCGAGAGTTTTTAAAAATCGGTTTGAGGAGACAAGTTACGACTGGGGGAGGGGAGGGACATCCCACTCCACGCCCTTTTTATTACAATGCAGTGGGAAGTATGATCAACGAATAAATTCCCCTTTCTTGTATTTCTTTCTAGTTTCCCGTTCGTCAAATTTGAAAATGATCTAAAAGCGGTTTATTTTGCTGAAAGGAACAATGACTGTTAACTAGCTGGTTTTTTTGAGACAGCAGACTTGAGAATTTATCTCCAAAGGCCGGATCCCATTACTCCTGCCAAAGGTTTAAGTTGTGCCCATTGGATAACTTAATTAGCAAGTAAGAACGCCAAAGCTATTTCATTGTAGTAATTTTAATCGAGAATTAAGCTCCTCAGTCCTCACACTATGTATCTCCTAATGTACGTTAAAACCTGGATTGGAAATCTTAAGGACTCGTCAACTTCCCTGGTTTGACCCAGGGAAATCCCCTTTTCCGTCCGTTTTTCCTCCCGAGAATCCAGGGAAATCCCCTTTTCCGTCCATTTTTCCTCCCGAGAATCCAGGGAAATCCCCTTTTTCTTTCGTTTTTGTTCTCGAGAATCCAGGGAAATCCCTGTTTACGAGCATTAATATGAGACTGCAACAGAGTGAATGCGTCGCTCAGCGCATTCCATGAAAGCGCTGGAAAGGATCGTCTACTGATTTCCTGCTTGCACTTTTCTGGTATAATCAACTTTCCAGGATCAACCGTGGTCTTCAAGTCAAGGAAACTGGAAAAATCAGAAAACAGACAAAAATTGAGAAATCTGACAAGCCTTTTTTAATTAACCCTTTACACTCTAACATCAGTATGCATATTCTCCATACTGTTCCCTATACATTTCCTAAGGTGCTGATAAGGAGAACGTTTTGAACAATAAAGAGCTTCATAAGTTGGTGATCATTTCCTTTATTCTCCTGACCTTGATGAGTAATTCAGGGCTGACATAGTAGGGAGAAATTAGATGTTAGTCACTCTTAGAGGGTCAAAGGGTTAAGATGTTCTCATGCACAGTCTTTTTCACCCCTCCTCTGCATGTAACGACTTTGCTTAGCACACTTATGGTAAAGTCACTAAACCGCTTAGAATTTATGAGCAAACAAATAAACGGTTATAAAGGCATCTGTTTGGTATACTTTAGTGGAGCAAGGAAAGAAAAATGCCTGTTACTGGACAGAAATTAATATAGTTGGGCGGAAAACGGGCGACCCAATACTCCTCACGGATAAATAAAGAAATTTCTTTCACTGACAGATAAGCAGTGTTAATGACTGAAATCTAAAAGGGTCAGAGACTGGTCAGTGTGCGGATAAGCTGTCGAGGAAGAACATCATGTCAGCACTTTGTTCTTTACGTGCGTTGTTGATAAGTATTCGGTGCTTGTAAAAATGTTAACGAGTTAATAGAAAAACTATACCTTCCCGAGATGGCTGAATGCTTTGTTTTCACAGCATAGCTTGCTGGGATACACTGATCGCCAGACTCTAGTGTTACTACTCCTCCCTCTGCATTTTAAAATAAAAAAAATTTAAAAAATAAAAAGAGGCTTCAAACGGAAGCAATTATTTATTTCTCGAGTATAAATATGACAAAACCGATCACATAAAACCTTTTTTGAGCAGATTAATAAATTATACGACAGTTGATCTGCACAAGAGAAAACAATGGAACATTCGATCCCCACCTTGAATTGTTATAGCTTTCCCCCACCAAATTGCAACTGGTTGTAATATGAATTTAAAAACCATTTCGCCATCTTAATCTTTAATGCAAGCACAGAATACATAAGATAGCTTTTCAGGAGCGGTTGCTATCGAGACTTTTTTTGAGAGGCGGACCACTGGCGTCACATGTGGGTTAAATTTGAAGCTGATTTTCGTCAGTATTCCCAAAAGTTTTCTCAGAGCTCACCATGCAATTTTCTTCCCTCCACAGAAACCAACATTCCAAACATTACTAAACACAAGTTGAACACTTTTTAACGAATTTACAAATTTCAAATTCTGTGTTGCTAATCTCCAATCAGGACACCAACATCGCTGATATTGACTTTATTCTAGACAGATACGAAGGTCAACAGACAGACCAAGGAATTCCTAAGGACCTCTCTGTAGTTCATTTGGTAGGACATTTGAATACCTAATCGCAAATTTATGAGGTGCGTAGTCGGAGTGTCAGGCTTGCATAAAGCAATAAGCGTTGCCACACTTACCTTCACCATCTTGAAAAGAATAAAGTTCCACTAAGGCTCCTTTTGATCCGAGTGAACCTTTGGCGACTAAACTCAGCGGCAAGTCTTCCAGAAATTCAGGAATACTCTTCTCCTCACTTGAGTCAATTTGGCATCCGTCTGGGCTTATTTCATAGATCTTACCCTATTGAGAAATCCGTTTTGTAGATAAAAAGATTTTAAATAAACTACAGCGGAAGTTTGTTGGGTTAATACTTAGACAGCCAAATCATTAGGTCTTATTCAAATTATCACTTTAAAATTTCCAACTCGATAGCGAAATTGAAAAGACATCGCTTAGATTTGATTTAAATTTAAGGGATTGGGTCAGAAACTGCTGCCATTTACCGGTATTTATTTTCCAGATGACCAAAAGAAACCATCACGACTTTGTTAACCGTGTACGTTTTATCTCAGGTGTCAGGTAGTTTGCTTGTTAGCGAATCATTCCTAAGAAGAGGGTCTCAATAGGGTGATGGCTTTTACGGCTAACGGTTAAAATTTTGGCCTGTTTTCGGCTAATGGTTAACATCTTTCCATTGTTTCCACCAGACATATTTTTTACGGTTACCTTTATTCACGACTAAAGGTTAAATTTTTTAAATTTTAAGCCTAAAGACTACATTTTTTGGCCGTTTAACGGTTATCGGTTAACCCCATTGAGAACCTCTTATAATATTTTCCTTTGTTTCGTTTAGCCGCTGTGAGTCAAATGAAACATGTGTCATGAAAATATTTTCAATATTAAAACAAAAAGGGTGAGTTAGTATTACCTCTTTATAGTCCATTATCAAAATTTTATCGCCCATCTTTTTCTGCATTCGTTCAAGGTTCATATCTATGGAGAATGTCATGCCGTGTGCTTCAGTTGAACCTGAATCATCCACCTTGACCTGAAATAACAAAATTCTTGATGATGATGATTATAATAAGCTTTAAAACGAATAGCCAAATAGACGAACACTTTTATTTTAATATGAGTGACTCTTTATAAAGATTTAGATGTTGACGAAACAGAACAACTCTCAGGTGATTCTGTAGTATTACATATTTCAAGTACTGATGGAAAACTCCGGTCACTACAACTAATTCATTTTCTCCATGATGTTGGAACATACCATGTACAATCTTCCCGATAACTGCTTTGGAAAACCTGAAAGGAAAGAAAAAGGAGGAATATCAAACAAGAAATTTTAACCTCAAAGAACGTGTCACAATTTTAGTAAATAATTAAATATTTGGAAGGAAGGAATAGACATCAAGAGTGTTTTATCACCAGAACATGACAGAGACCGCCCACTTGGATTCGGGTTTGCTAAGGAAAAGCGAAGAAGAAAACCGATCATCAGAACGACTTTCATCTTAGACTGATGTTACTTTGCTACAATTGTGATTTTGATTAAGCCCTCAAGCCATTTTATGCATTTCTTTCTTCTGCACATGTTCAGCTGCGTAAATGGAGAAAAAATTCAACAATGAGTTTTAGGCACCTTGGAGCAATTTAAAATTAAGTGTACGGGCAAACAGATATGGTTACCCCTTTTGTTAAGTTTTTCAGAAAGAAATTTATTTTGTCGATAAAATGGTAAAATAAACAGGAACTCAGTATAATTTGTTTTTCCACTTCCCTTTGAAAATTTTGTGCTAACCTCGTGGCAACTAACTTTTACGTATTTTTTATCCTATCTTACAATTATCAATGACGGTACAGGCACTCCTTGTTTCCTGATTTCTCCAATAATATTCTGTTCAGAAAGAAACAGAATTTAAAACAGTCATTTCAAATTTCTTTTGCAACAAAGGCAATATGAAATATAAACTGAATTTAGATATCACGCACAATTTTAATTGTTTGGTATTTAACTGTTACTGAAGATGTGTTGAAATGCTAATAAAAATTAGTGCTGACTGTAAACTCCGATAAGCGTTACCTTGGAAGCAGTTGAAACACGCCGAGCGGAAAAACATCGAGCCGCTTTTGAGATCAAAGATGAAGCACATCCGCTTTAGAAATTAACGGCAATGAATGGAAAGGCTGGTTCAAAATACGTTTGCACTTTCAAGTTTTACTGATATCCGGAAATAAGCGCTCCAGCATAAAGAAATTATCAGCTTAACATTATTATCTATCTTCACAAAGAGAAGTTATTTCTTAAATATATTTTGCTGACGTTGTGTAAATGAACACTACTGACAAAAAAATAAAACGATTAGGTTAAGGTTTGGTAGAATGCCACGTGGGAAAGAGGAAGTAAGTAAGACAATAAGTTAAAATTGGATAAAGGAAAGTTTATGACTGGACTCAAATTTTACATAATCGAGCTTTACATAAGCGGTTGTATTCGTTTCCATAGTGACAAAGCGTCAAAAAAGAACGGAGGCACTCTTCACTACGTTGTTATCACGAAGCAGAGAAAAGATTAGCACTCTGAATGCGGTTTTTTTAAAATATATAATTTTCTAGATTTCAAGCTCTGACTCATCTTGAAAGTAAAAGTTGGATCCGAAATGTTAGATCATTAAGTTAGATAAAGTTGGGCATTTTCAGTGGGGAAACTCATTTAATGGTAAGCGCGCACGTGGCGGTAAAAATCATATCACTTTCTTTTGTTTTCGAAGGAAAATTTATTCATTAATATGTGTTATCCTTAACTGAGATATACTCCTTGAAATAAACATTACATAGAAGTCTTTTATACAACCAAGCTCACATAAGGGTAGTTTATGGTCCGTCGTGGTATAGTGTCTTAATTGGATTAACCATCAGCCGAAAACGGCAAAGAAATTCAGCCGTTAGGCATGAAAATTAATTGATCAATTTCAACCGTTCTTTGTTCCAAACCCATAAAAATCATTATTTGACGACTTGAATGTTGGCATAGCTACTGTTCAAAATATTTTCAAGAAATTACAACAGCACTTAACTTGGGATTTCTTTCTGAGGGTATTTTGAAGA